TTCTTTTTGTCTGTATTCTCTTCAAGGTAGGTCAACCACCTTGAGTGCAAGAATACGGAAGTAGATGGCAAAGAGAAAAGCGGCTATTCTTACAGCTAAAGTTAAAATATTTTTGGAACAGCTAGCACAAGTCTGTAATTCCTTAGCTAAGCATACAGGTTCTTCCATTGACTCACTTCTGCCTGTCTCCTCGACATTCCCTTCTTTCCTCATGCCGAACTAGTATACCTGTAACTTTCTCAAATAAACTTCACTGTTTCATGCCCTCAAGACTTCATATACACTATTTTCTCTGGTCTTTGTCTTCCGTGCCGGTCTTTATCTTCTGTGAATTCTTAGTCTTCGATTTAACAGCCGGAACCTTCTCAGTCTCCTTCACGAGCAGTGTTTGCTAGTTTCTTCTGTACCGTAAGTGTTACCTAGTTAATTCTTCTCTCATGTCCTTTATCGTGGTCTTAACTCTTTTTGAAAAGGAGAGTATAGATAAAACTTTAGCACAATACCTGGCATATAAGTTGTGTCCAATAAATACTGATCATTATTAATAGGATTATTGTCCATCTGTTTCCTGAGCTTCTTGAGGATAGCAACTATGTGGTCTATTTTTACATTAGTAGTAACACGTAAAGAGTCTGGTACATGGCATGTGCTCAGAAAACCTTTGTTAAATTAATCAATTCAGAAAACTTTAAGAGCCAAAGTCTCTCCTTTACTTCATTAACCCCATTCATTCCTTTTGAATTCTTGTTTATGTACTTAAAATTTCAATTTGAAAAGGAAATCTTTAAGACTAATTTTTCACTTCTACATTCACATACAAATGATTTCCATAGGCTGCAACAGAGAAAATTTATCTGTTACTTAGTTAAAATGAATAGCATTCCCATGGCAAGATAATTTCTGATGCCACTTTGAAAGAGGACAAAGTTTGCAAAGGCTTTTTGTTTTTTTCAACATGATGTTAGTTTTCTGTTGCTGTGTAACAATTTACCACAAACTTAGTAGCTTAAAATAGGAGTCATTTTGGGGCCCAGCCCGGTGGCACAGCAGTTAAATGCACACGTTCTGCTTCTCGGCGGCCCGGGGATTGCCCGCCTGGATCCCGGGTGCAGACATGGCACCGCTTGGCAAAGCCATGCTGTGGTAGGCGTCCCACATATAAAGTAGAGCAAGATGGGCATGGGCGTTAGCTCAGGGCCAGTCTTCCTCAGCAAAAAGGAGGATTGGCAGTGGATGTTAGTGCAGGGCTAATCTTCCTCAAAAAAAACAAAAACAAAAAAACAGCAGTCATTTATTATTTCATATTAAGTCAAAAATCCAGGTGGATACTCTAGTCTCAGAAGGCTTAAATGAAGTGGGCAACTAGTCCAGGACTTTATCTGGTGGCTTCAATCAGGGGTGGGGGAAGGCAATGTACTTCCAAGGAAATCTGGCTACTGGAAATGGTTCTCAGTTTCTAGAGGTTATCTTCATTCCTTGGCCCATGTCCATTCCATTTTCAATGTCAACAATGGCATGTTAAATCCTTCTCCTGACTTTCCCTTCTGCCACAAGATAGAAAAGTTTTCTTCTTTTGTGATTAGATTAGGTTACATTAGCATTTGTGTGCTTTCCCTGTTTTAAGGTTAGCTGTGCTATATAACATTATGTAATCACAGGAGCGATATATTTTCATATTCACAGGTTCTGGAGATTAGGACAGGACGTCTTTGGAAGACCATAGTTCTGTCTACCCCAGTCCACTCGCTGGCCTACCAAAGGTTCATATCCATTCTACACGTAAAATAATCATCCCACCTCAAGGTTCCTAAAAGTCTTCTCCCTATACAACATCCTTTCGCAATTTAAAATCTCGTTATCTAAAGCATCTAAATCAGTGCAAATGAGGCTCCTGGGCACAATTCTTATCATCTGTTGATCTGTGAAACTAAATAAACGTTTAATCTGCTCCTAACATAAAATGGTGGGATATCCAGAAGATAACAGTTGCAGACATTATAGCTCAAAACGGGGGGAAAAGGAAGATAAAAGGGACTCACCAGTCCAACAAAATTTTGAAATTTCTGCACAGAGTCCTTTAGGTTTCAAAGCCTGGGAAAAACTCTCTGCGGCTCTCAGCTCTCCTCCCTCAGCTCCCAGTTCCACTCTCTGGGCTCTTGGCTTACTTCCTGCCAGTAATATTTCAGGGGTCCAACAACTTCCTTTCTTTTTGTAATATTTTTTCCTTTTGGTCTATGTTGTCAGTATTTCTGCTGACACAGATTTCTCAAGAACCTTGTGGGTCTCCGTGGCACAGGGTTTCATCCCATTAAACAGATCCCAAGTCCACAAATCGTTTTGAGATAATCTCTTCTCTATCTTTGGTGTCTGTTGAAATGGATAAGGGACAACACCCTTAAGCTTGCTAGAAGCTCCCTGATTTGAGATGATTTATGAAGCAAACCTTTAATCTCTTGTGACTTAATATTCTGACCTTTTGATCTTTTCAAGATTTGAGTAAAGGCTTGCCTAGCCATACACTTAGCTTTTTCTCTGCACTACACTTTCAAAAGCAATTTCTTAATTTTAGCAGCTTTTACCATCAGAAGAGGCTGAGAATTTCCCAGATCATCAAGTCCTGGTTCTTTTTTCTTTAACTGTTCTTTCATGTTTGTCTCTTTCCTCTCACATTTTATTATAAATGGCAAGTTAAAACCAGGCAGCACCTCCAACACTTTTCTTGGGAACATCCACACCTAAATAAATAAGTTTATCATTTAAAAGTTCTGCTTTCCACATAAATTCATGACAAAATTCTGCTAATCTTTCGACCACACTATAACAATGATCCTCTTTCCCTAGTTTTCAATCACACGTTCCTGGCTTCATTCTGATCCCTCCCCAGCTGTGTACTTAACATCCATAATTCAACTAACAGTTTGTTCATGGCAATGCAGGCTTCCTCTATCATGTTCCTTAAGGTTCTTCTCAAGTTTCTTTTGGCCTCCACCCACTGTCTAATTACAGAGACACTCCCATATTTTGGATACTAGTTATGGCAGCACCCCACTCCCGGTACCAAAATCTGTATTAGTTTTCTATTTCTTTGTAACAAATTGCCACACGTGAAACAGCTTAAACCAACGCAAATTTATTAGCTTACAGTTCTGTCTATCAGAAGGCCAGCATTCTGGGTTTTCTGCTTAGGGTTTCCCAAGGCTGAAATCAAGATGTTGTCTGAATGGACTCTATCTGGGGATCTGGAGAAGAATCTGCTTCCAGGCTCATTCCTCGTGTTGGCAAAATCACTGCCTTGTGGTTGTAGGACTGAGGTTCCTGTCTCCTTGCTGACTGCTAGCTGGGGGCCACTTTTCACTCCTAGAGGCTGCTTATATTATTTCTCATATGTCCCCATTCATCTTCAAACTAGCAATAGTGTATTGAATACTTGTCAGGCTTTGAGTCTACCTGACTTCCTCTTCTGCCTTTCTCTTTTGCCTTCTTTTCTTTTTTTTATTGGTGAAGAAGATTGTCTCTGAGCTAGCATCTGTGCCAATCTTCCTCTCTTTTGTATGTGGGATGCTGCCACAGCATGGCTTGATGGCTTGATGAGTGGTGTGTAGGTGTGCCTGGGATCTGAAACCACGAATCCCGGGCCACTGAAGCAGAGCACGAGAACTTAACCACTAGGCAACTGGGTCAGCCCCTCTCTTCTACTTTTAAAGGCAGCATGTGATTAGGTCATTTTTCTCCCTCAAATATTTTTTATATCTTCAGATCAACTAACTTGAGGCTTTAATTACATCTAAAAAATTCCTCCAGAACTGTACCTAGTTTAGTATATTATTGAATACGTAGGAGTTGGGAATTCTGTATGGAAATTTTTAGACTTCTTCCTGCTATCACCATTATTAGAGAATTGTTTTAAAGAAATCAACTTGAAATCAAGATATGCAACTGTTTTTTTAGTACAATGTTTGCAATCTACATTAAACATATCCATGATAGGCATCACTATTTTATACTTCTATAATTGCTTTAATAATCGTAAGCATTTACGTATTTCTCTCTGGGCATGTAATTAGCACTTCTACTTAAAGAACAATCATTACCTTCTTAACAGATTCTCATGAATTTATCTCTTATGGTATCTTCAGTGATTTCAAAGTTTGGGTCTAATTATAAATCTGTGTGATCCTTTAAAGTGTATGTGTTTATATCTTAGCTCTGTGTGTGTGTGTGTGTGTGAGTGTGTATAGATAAAATGAAGGATCAGATTGTCAAATGAGACAAACAAATTCAAAATCTTACCTTTCAAGCTTTACCTATACTACAAATACCATTAGTTTGTGTGTCAGAGTCTATCATTTTTATTTTTCAAGACTAGTTTGAATCATCTTCTTTCTTTCACAGGCAAAGGGAGAGAATGGATTCCAACCATTCACTTCTCAGATTGCATAAAAATTTAAGGAATGAAATACTATTGGTGTACTTTCCTGTAAAAAAATAGATTTCTCCCAAGTTTATTTATTTTTCATTGTATTATAAACTTAGTGTTACGGTGAACCAGAAGTTAACTCATTCACGCACATTCATAGCCGTATTACACGCACTACACACACCATACCCTCCCTCCCATTCCACACACGTAGATCTCAAGCGTATTGATGTTGTTAGGAGAGAATCATGGAGCCAAGGAAAGGGCTCAGTAGAAGTAGCAAGAAAGAAGACCTCATTTTAGGGAAAGGTAATGAAAAATATAAGTGTGGTGTACTCTACCCAATAGTCATTTTCCTTTTCGTACTCAGAGAATTCAGGTATTTGGGGGTGAGCAATATGTTCAACCCAAAACAAAATCTTAGCCTCTTTGCAGATAACAGAAGTCATGTAACTCAATTGTGGCCAATGATTTGTAAGTGGAAACGAGGTTTCTGGGAAAGTTCTTTACAAAGGGTCCAGATTCAGCTAGTGTATGTCTTTTTGTCCTTCTTCTTCCTGACTGGAATGTGGATGGATTTCAGCTGTGGAGCATCCATATTATGACCATAAAGTCATCCTGAGGGAAGGATCAACAAGGATGCAGCAGAGACTTCAGCCCCGACGTTCTTGAGCTGCTGAACAAATACCACCAAACATTTATCTCTGGACATCTCATGATGTGAGAAAAACACAACTCATGATTTGTTTAGGTCGCCATTTTGGGGGTTTGTGTTACTTAGGAGCAATTCTTAACTGATACAGTCATTCAGAACAGTGCCTAGAGAAGACGCTTACAGCAGTGGAGTAGGAAGGTGCATGAATCCTTTGACCTGTCAAAGTGCTTGATTTATATCTCTCATGACATTTGTGTGCAGCAATTGGGTATATGAAAATCTACTCTCCTGTACCAGTCTAAAAACTCATAAAAGGATATTCAATCTTTGTCTCTACCATGTGTTAACTTAGCTTCTAAAATATTTATTGTATGTTATGTGTCAAGAGGAGAGCAAACGAAATCAATAAGGGCAAAGATGCCTCCAATTTAGACTCTTGCAGCTTATATATATATTTATATATTATTTATAAAAAGAATATTTTTATCATGAGAAGGGAATAGGGCATGAAAAATAATCTCCAATGAAGAGGAAATAGGGAAATCTTCTAACAAATCCTAATGTGACTTTGCAGAGAGCATCGCAGAATGCTAACAACCACCATCTTCATCCTTATCACCAAAGAGCGTATTTGGATAAGAGAAGCTATAACCAAGGAAAATATAAAAGACCAGCATGGAATTGTGTGGAAGACATCAAGAATCTTGAAGAAAGTACGCATGACAAACAAAGTGGGGAATGTTTTTAAGTTATATTCTGGGTAAGAATTATTTGACCTGTGTTGTAGTGTGATTTTCTCGGAAGACTGTGAGAAGAGGGAATTCTTATTTATATTCTATGCTGAGTAGCACAATTTTCAAATTGGAAAAAACAGCAGGATTTTTCTTTCTGGGTGCCTCATTTCCACTTATTAACATTGATAAGACAGGCTTATAATTAAAAATGGGTAAATTTATAAGAGAATTCTAACTTCTATAAATTATTTTGTCTTCCGATTGGGGGAAATTTTGTTATAACTTTAGTAGATAAAATACGTCCTTGGATATCACTCATTATTAGTTGATTGTTTGATTCTTAGAACAAATTTATTGAGCCCTGACCTGGGAATATAGCAATGAACAGCTGGATCTGTTTTTTCTCTCCCTGAAATTAACATCTTCCAGGGAAGACAGGCACCAAAGGACTAATTATAATGACATGTGTGAGCTCTTAGGATGGGCAAGTATGGAAGTGACAGAAACAGAGCTGGGAGAAACCTATCCAGCCCAGACACTGTGAAATTCTGGGAAGATGGGAAAAGGACCAGAGAATGTTTTCTAAATCTGGTGCAAAGACGACCTGTGCTTCCAAAGGGAATCTCTTGGTTTTACAATTAAAAACTGGGGGCAGGCCACGTGGCGCAGGGGTTAAGTGCGCAAACTCCGCTTTCATGGCCCGGGGTTCGCCGGTTCAGATCCTGGGTGTGGACATGGCACCACTTGGCAAGCCATGCTGTGACAGGTGTCCCACATATAAAGTAGAGGAAGATGGGCACGGATGTTAGCTCAGGGCCAATCTTCCTCAGCAAAAACAGGAGGATCGGCAGCAGATGTGTTAGCTCAGGGCTAATCTTCCTCAAAAAAAAAAAAAAAAAAAACTAAAATAAAAACTAAAAACTGTTATCAAGGTTCTAGAATTTCCCTGTTTAGCAGATTTCTATATTCTGTGTTGCAAGCTAAAACACCAGCTTTTAAAATTTAAAATACTTACATCTAGTGTTCATGGAGTCATGAAATTGTCAGGATTAAATACCATGTTATAACACAAGAAAAATGAGTGGTAATTACAGGGAATATATTTCTATGCTTTCTTAATTTCTCTTTCTATCTTAATCTATTCATTTTTATAAAAACAAAGAAAAACAGCAACAAAAAGGAGAAAAAGCCAAAAAAACCAACAGAATTTCTTAAAAAATAATTTATTGTGGTGTTTTTCCTTGCTGTGAAACGTTGTAAATACAACTACTTTTAAATTTCAGAAGGGCTTGTTACTTCATTCTGTAAAAATCTCAATTGATAATGTTATTGTCAATTTAATAAAGTTAGAAAGATGCATATAATAAAGTGTTTTTTTCTATTTCAAAATTAAATATCCTTTTTATACAAAATATCCTTCACAAACAATGTTTTCCTCATGTGTTACCCCTGTGATTAGTATCAGCTTATGCTTCATAGTGCATTCAGTATCTTAAGACACAACCAGGTTAATTGTAAAATGGCTAATTTCCAGAGAAAGATGGAAATTTTAAACATAATCCCAGGAATAAAAATTATTAACCTGAAGGGAAACATTTGCTCAGGACGCTTCAAACAACTCTGGAAGAGATGGGAGAGGATGGAGGAGGAAGCAAGAGGGGGAAGGAAAAGCCAGGAGGTGAAATGATCTTTATTCGCCAATACTGATCATGGAGGTGTATAAACGTCCCAGATGATGTGAAAATGGTCTAGGCCAGAGTTTCTCAAAATTCAGAGTTTCTCAAAATTCAGTTTTTGTACAATTCATCTGGGACTTTATAAAGAGACGATTCTGATTCAGTAGTACAGGGGTGGGGCCTGAGATGGTGTATTTCAAACAAACTTCCACAAGCTGCTGGTCCCTGGAGAAGCCAGTCTAGAGCTGAGGTTCTGAACGCAGGCGCACCTTAGAAGCATCTGGGAAAATAGAAAAATCCTGATGCTCAGGTTACACCCCTGAACAATTAAGCTAGAATCTTTGATACTGAGATCCAGGCTTCAGTGTTTTTAAAATCTCCCCAAGGATATACCATTGTGCAGCCAGGCTTGAGAAACCACTGGTCAGAAGATTATTGTCCCTCATCATTGGCAAAAGCTGGTGGATTGACTCCAACAGTACTTTAGAATCACTCGTAAACTAAAAGTCAAATTACTCCACCACAATAGACTGCAGCTGAGAAAACAAAATGCGCACCACATTATTTAAATAAAAACCCAGCACACACAGTATGTTTTTGGCTTCATAGATCCTCAGAAATGTTATTGTTTCTGCTCTTGCATAATTTTACTATTGAGTTCCTGCATATAAGCACATCTTGCGGATAGTGGTTGAAATAAGAAAAATAAGCCATTAAGTTTCTCCCTGCATGAGCCTGAAGTGACTGGAAGCTGATTACTTCACATTGGCTTGTCCCATCTTCTCAAGGAAGGCAGGATTTCAGGGAATGGAGCCTTGAGTGTTGATTCTAACTTATCCTGGTCCATTCTCTACAAAGTGGGTTTCTTCCCAATATAGTCCTTCTGATAACTAAGATTACCCCTGTTTCCCCATACACAGAAAAGTATCAATCTGTATTTTTATGTGTGTATGTATCAGTGACTCTTAGAATTGCTTTCTTTTGCTCAAACTAACTGCATCAATTAATGTTCTTAACTGCAAGCAACTGAAAAGGAGTCTGCGGGAATTAAACAGAAAAGTCTATTTAAAAGGATAACGAGGAGCTCATGGGACTATTGGAGATCCGAAGAACCAGATTCAAGGTAAATGTCCAGAAACAATGCCCAAAACATGCTGTAGAATTGTCTGAAGGGCAAGTGATGCTGCTGCTACATATTAGAATTTTCCCTGCTGCCATTTTGCACCAGGAACACACATCACAGTCACCTTGTGGCTAAAGCTGGATACGCTCCCATCTCCACCCTCACTAGAAAATGGATTCTGTGTGCTTCCTCACATTGCTCACTAAGGTCTCCTACTAGAATGTTTGAGTTTAGGATTGCTCCTAACTGTGGGTATATTTTCTACTTTGGCAAGGCAGGGCTTAAATGGTGGGAAATTCCTCAAACAAAGGAAGGGTGTTCAAAACATGTCAACTGTCTTATCACTCTCCCTAGAGTCCTCCTTTTGCAATTCAAGTTGTATAGGCAGCATCAATTTGATTCCACTTCAGTGAGAATTTATTCAGTTCTATTGCATAGTCAAGATATAAACAAGATGAAGATAAATTGGTGTAGAAGGGCTTACAGTTTGTTAGGAAAAGTTTTGCATGGACTATTTTAATATAGTCTTGTAAAATGCAATGGATTGACATATATAGAGGACACAGGGCTATAAACTGAGTACAAAGTGGGAGAAAATAATACACCACTTTAAAGCTCATTTGCCTTGACTGAAATCAGGTACATATCATGAAATGGCTAATGTGTTTATAGTATTATATTTGTGTTTTTCTATACCTGTCTCACCAAATGTTGTATAAGCTCTTCAAGGCCAAATATCTATCTTTTAAATTTTGTTAGTATTCGTAGTATCTAGCACACAACTAGGCACATGGTAAGTATTCAAATATTTTTTTTTTTGTTGAGTTGAATTATTTTGGGAAATGTATAGTCTGAGTACTCCAAAACATACCCAACCATACTATGTAACTTATACTGTAGGACAAAATACTATTTTAAATCAACTTGCTGCTTGACCAGCACAATTATGATTAACAGTTGTTGGATGGGCAATTAAAAGATTTAAGATTGTTATGGTTTCAAGGAGATTAAGCCTTTCTAACTCAAGGTATAGCTGAGAGAAGACTCATGCGAAAATGCATTTTAAGGGGCCGTCTGGTGGTGCAGCGGTTAACTGTGCACGTTCCACTTCGGCGGCCCGGGGTTTGCCAGTTCGGATCCCGGGTGCAGACATGGCACCGCTTTGCACTCCATGCTGTGGTCCCACGTATAAAGTAGAGGAAGATGGCCTTGAGTCAGTCTTCCTCAGCAAAAAGAGGAGGATTGGCAGCAGTTAGCTCAGGGCTAATCTTCCTCAAAAAAATAAATAAATAAACTTTGAAAGTTGGCGTTAACAATTGTCATGATATGAACTGTTCTGTTCTTTATTATCATTGTTGTTATTACTCCATATTTAAAGATCACTTTTCCAATACTAGGTTTGAGTTTGTGACCTGTTCATGACTAGGAGGATGGAAATGTCTCAGAGGTTTCTTATGCATACTTGAGATGCTCCTAGCTTAGGAAGATGATTGTATATCTGAACAGGCAAAGTGACGATGCTCAGGAGAAGAAAATATGCAAAACAATACAGTTTGCAAGGAATAGGAACCCACTGGAAATAGCTTAAGCAAAAAGGAGAATTTAATAAAAGGACGCATGGTATCCTGTATTACCCAAAGATAGAAAGCGGGGACTCAAGAACAAACTGTAGTCTGGGACTGGAAACCTATCAAGAATTCAGGGAGTCCACTCTTCTTTCGCCTCTGCTTCTCAAGATGTCTGTACAAGTCCCTGACCATATTACTCTTCAATGATTTCAATGTTTAACTTTTGCTGGCTTGTACTGACAGTAATTTTTGTTTTTCAGAATCTCTTCATTTCTTCTGTGCTTTCCCCCTCAGTTTTACTGAAATATAATTGACACGTAATCTTGTGTAAATTTAAAGTGTACAACGAGATGATTTGATACAGGTGTCTATTGTGAAGTGATTACCACAATAGGGTTGGTTAACACGTGCGTCACCAAACATAATTATCTTGTTTTGTGTGTGTGCGGTGAGAACATTTAAGATCTACTCCGTTATCAACTTTCGCATATATAATACGGTAATTTTAACTACAGTCATCATGCTGTTCATTGGATTCTCAGAACTTGTTCATCTTATAATTGGAGATTTGTACCCTTGGACAAACGTCTCCCCAGCCCTTACCCCTCAGCCTCTGGTAACCACCGTTCTCCTCTCTGTTTCTGAGTTTGACTCTTTTAGATTCTCTCGGCCAGGGATTTGACAGTTAAGATATGACTTTCTACTGTTATATTTTTGAAGCCCATCCTCTCTTTGACCTTGCTTATACTCAATAGTATGTCTCAGAAAGCAAGCACCTCTCTACCTTTCTCCCATTTTTGGTGATCTGGTGTGTCTTTCACTGTAAATTTGGACTGCATTTACACAATGTAAATCCACTCTTCTCTTCCAATCATGCTGCAATTTGATGATTTATTCCCTTCATCAATAATAGAATATTTAGATCTTGACTTCCCAAGCTTTTTCTTTTTCAGAATTAATTTTTCTGAAAAGTAAACATCCTTTTCTTTTTTTCTTGGAACACATTAATTTTAAAAATAAAATTTTATTCATTTTAAATGCAAAAGTAATGTATACCTTTTTAAAAAAAGTAAAACAGCCAAATATCTTTAAGGAACATGTTAATTATCGTCTTCTACCAAACCACTCCCCTCTATTTCTACCCTCTGAGGTAATCGATGTTCCCAGCGGAGTGTATCCTTTACTATCTTCTTCATGCTCATAAAAACATATACATACACATGCAGTTTATTCTTTTTTACATTTTTTCTAACTTAACAATATATCAGCTAAATAGCTATAGCTCTAACTGCTTTTGTCTCTGCAAAATATTCCATCATAAGGTTATACTAAAATATATCCAACCATTCCTCCTCTATGAATATTCAGGTGGTTTCTAATGTTTTTACAATTAAAAATAATGTTGCAACCTCCATGTACCTATATTCATATGTTATGGTATTTTTAACAGAAGTGAGATCACTGGATATAGCAGATTCTATTATTGTTAACAGTTACTCGACACCCCCCTCCCCATCACCATAAGGAAATTATATGTCCTCAGGGTTAGTACCTCCTTGGTACCTCCCTGTAGTGTTATCAGCGTTATAGACAGAAAGTTGTTCATAACATTTCCTTATCATCTTAATGTCTTCAAGATCTGTAGTGATGTCATTTATTTCATTTATAATATTGGTAATTTGCATTTTGTCCTCTGATTCTATTGATTATTTTGTCTCTTCACAATGCTTTTTTTTCTTGCTTTTACTAAAAAGCAGGCTGTGATACTTAATAACATCATGGTACTCAGATATATAGTTATGTATTGGTTAATGATGGGGATATGTTCTGGGAAATGTGTCTTTAGGTGATTTTGTTGTTGTAAAAACATCATAGAGTGTATTTACACAAACCTAGATGGTACAGCCTACTACACACCTAGGCTATATGGTACTAATCTCATGGGACTGCCATCAAATATGTGATCTGTCACTGACCAAAATGTTAGTATGTGGCACATGACCGTATGATCAAACATGATTCTGGATGTTTCTGTCAGGATGTTTTTGATTGAAATTAACATTTAAATCAGTAGGCTTTGAGTAAAGCAGATTGCCCTCCCTAATGTGGTTGGGCTTCATCCAATCAGTTGAAGGCCTTAAGAGAACAAAAGACTAACCTCTCTTAACCTCTCTTGAGCAAGAGGGAATTCTGCCAGTATACAGCCTTCAGACTTGAACTGCCATCTTGGCTCATCCCTAAGTCAGCCTGATGGCCTTTAGACTTCAACTGCATCATCAGCTTTTCCCTGGTCTCCAGCTGCCGGCCCACCCTGCGGATTTTGGACATGCCAGCCTCCATAATCACATGAGCCAATTCCTTAAAACAAATCTCTTTCTGTAAATATACACACACATCCTATTGATTCTATTTCTCTGGAGAACACTGGCTAACAGACAAGTCCATAGTTTTTTATTGAATACCATCCATTGTGTGCAGAAGAACTGTAGAGGCTGTGAGAAATAATATTTATACTTTAGAATGACAGGTATTTTTTTTCTGTCGGCTCATTATTTTGGGAGTTTAGTCAATACAATCAGTAGTTGAGCTGGGTTTAGGTTTTGCTATTGTTATCATTATCATCATTATACATTAGGCTTCAGATTCAGCCAGTGGTGGCATGTCATTACCTTGTGCTTATTATGGAGGGTGGAGTAACAGATAGTTTATTTCAGTGTTTTTTCTCAGTCCTGAGATTTGATTAGTCCTTGTACTTGGTCTTGTTGTCCAGCCTCAGTCTTAGAGCCTGGATATGCCTGGACCTTGGGAGTGAGGCCTTCTCAGCATTTCTGGTCCTCCTTCCAGTAAGAGCCAAACTATATATTATATCTCTGGTGGGGGGGAGAGGGAGGATTTTGGGCAGGATACACTTTTCCTCATCTTTCCCTGTGGGAGCAGACTTCTGCTTTATATTCATGTAGGATCCTGGGCTTAGGAGATTTTCCTGCTCCTTCCACAGAAACAGATAGCTTTTGCTTCTACCCTTCTTCAAGAAGCATGACTGATCTTTGCCTGATTCTTTGGGGTGAGAGAGAAGGATTCCTTCCATTGCTCAGAAGTGGTGATCTGGGGCTGGCCCCATGGCCGAGTGGTTAAGTTTGTGTTCTCTGCTTCGGTGGCCTAGGGTTTCACCAGTTGGGATCCTGGGTGCGGACATGGCATCGCTCATCAAGCCATGCTGAGGTGGCATCCCACGTGCCACAACTAGAAGGACCCACAACTGAAAATATACAACTATGTACCTGGAGGCGTTGGGAGAAAATGAAAAATAAAATCTTAAAAAAAAAAAGAAGCAGAGATCTGTGCCTGTGCTGCAGTGGCAAGAATATTGCCCTTTCCCAGCATCTTAAGGTCTTTGCCTCATGCTGGAGAAGGGAGGCAGCAGTGTTTTGTTCCTGTGCCTCATTGGTGTCCCCACTGAGGGGAGTGGCTCTCCTTGGTCTTTTGCCCTGCCCAGAATCTTTCTTATGAGTACCTAGCAGAGGTCCGTGGAAAAGAGTTTGGGAGTGATTGTGAACTACCCTTCTTTCTGAGGCTCTAAATTAATCTAAAGTCTTACAAGCTCACACTTGGCCTTTAGGAATTTAAGTTTTAGCTGATTTATTATTGCCTCCTTTTTTGGCAGCCACCTCTTCTTCCTCCGCTCTGCCAAAAATGAAAGAGTTTGTGTGTTGAATATCTTTTCAGAGGGACTTACACTTTGAAATTCAGTTCAGTTGGTTGTCTTCTTATCTGAGCTCTCTGATGGGTTCAAGAAACGTTTTTTAAAAATATTATCTGACTTTTTCTTGCTGTTGGGTTAAGAGTCATGTGCTCTTCCAGATTTCTACATTCTAAGCAGAATATTTTTTATTTAAACAGTATATGGCCTTTTAAAGAAGTCAAGAAGAAAAAAAATATCTTTTATATCTTTTATATTTACCCAAATATTTACCATTTTCAGTACTTG